CTGGGTTGCTTGTCTCCTCACCCATGCACTTAAAATTCAGTTGTACTGCAGGCACACACAAAAGCGTCAATAATTTTTTTTTTTTTTTTTTTTTTGCAAAAGAGGGAAAAAAAGGAACACCTCAGAGAAAGAGTTAACTAGAACATCTCACCGCCTTTGCTGACTTGGAACTCCAATACACTGATAGCTCATCAAGAGCCAAGCTTTCCAGAGAGTGCCCCTCCGTCCAGAGAGCCACGTGGTCCAGAAAGCCATGTGGTCCAGAGAAAGCCACGCTGTTCAGAAAGAGAGAGCAAGTTTCACATCACTCCCTTATATTTCCCCAAACGTCCCAGAATGACTGCTTAGCTTTTGTTCCTCCCAGTTCTCTCCTTGGTGTTGCTGGGAGTTGTAGTTTCCAAACACTGGAGTAGGTGGTGGAGTCCACAAAACTCTGCAGAATTCCTTTAGGACATCTTTTCCCCCTACAGACCCTGTGTGCTGACAGAAACATTCAATTTCTGCAACTGTAAAATAGAAATAAGAACAGTATATTGACTAAAAGACTTTCAAAATTAGGTATCATTAGCGGCTTTATAGTCAATAGTCAATGTAGAAAGATGAATTCTGAACACATTTTTCTCAAAGAAAAAAAAATCAGGTGTTTTTCGGTATGTTGCTTCTCTATAACTCAGTGTCCCAATCGTGAGCTGATTTGGTCCTTTCCTCTGTCTCAGTTTACCCCGTTTTCATGTCTCTGTGACTTACTCAGCAGAAGCTCAATGTGATACTGAAGGTTGGCCTCTGTTTCTCCCAACCAATTAAAAAAAAAAAAAAACAGTTACAAGAGAAGGAAAGTAGCTTAATTTGTGGACAAACTGAGGAGGGCAGCAGACTTGTGTCTGAAAGACCACATCCTTCTCTACGTCCTACTCTTTGGCAGAGTGTAGGGGTATTTACACAAAGGTGTTAAAAGGGGGGGGTGGAAATTGTGTTAAAAAAAAAAGTGGGGGGGTGGAAATGGACAAGGGTCCAGGGGCCTGGCCTTTTTGTGCAGGCATATGGAGATTGGCAAGGATCAGCACCAGCTCTGATTGTTAACTCCCTAGTGTTTAATTTTCATATCTTCTAAGAAACATTCTTTTTTCCCTCTTAGAAAATAAGAAGACAGGGCCCTCCTTGGTGGCACAGCACTAAGAAGCTAAAGCTACCTTAGCATGAGTTAGATCCCCGCCCAGGAGGTGACCACATGGCCCAGCAGACCTCTCCTGACCCACCCACTGTTCTTCTCAACAGTGTACTTTGTCGATCTACCTGTTCTGCTCCCCACTCTGTCTCTTGTGAAGCCTCTCACCACCCCTGTACCTCTGGCCTGTACCCCAGTTCTGTATACATAAATAAATAAATCTTAAGATATAAGAATGTGTATCTGGTGGGGCATCAGTTAAGAACATAGGTTGTAAATTTGTTTTGTTGTTTAATTGGAGCACATAATATAAAGAACTTGGAACTTGTAAAAAAAAAAGAAAAGAAAAGAAAAGAAAAAGTAGCAGCTGTGGGACACACAGCTGCAAGGACTGATAAGTCCTCAGCCAACCTGTAGCTTATCAATGAAGGCCAGAAACCCCCAAAGGACCACCAAAAGGGCTTTGAAGCCAGGCTTCAGAACAGAGATCAGAGCCCTTCAGAGTGGCGGTCACCACGTGAGTCTGCTTTGGACCCGCTGCTCTCCAACCAGTTCCCGCCCTCTCCTGGCAGAGGGCCTGCCCCGACTGCTGGACTTCTGGGTCACCGAAGACCTGCTTGCAGATGGGCTTGGAGGACCCCCTGCACCAGGGCACCCTGCTTGGTTTGGCGCTGCTCCTGGTGGAGAGCCGCTTGCAGTCGAGAGCGAAAGCCTCCTGCTTGTTAGCCCATCTCCCGTAGGCCCTGGGGGGGTCTCTGTGGCTAAGAGCATTGCCACATTGGCTGTGGTATATTGGGGGACTTCATGTTGGCCTTCCCCAGAGTTTGTGTTCAGAATAATAAACACTATCTGGGAATCAACACCACCTCAGTGCCATCTGGAAGCTCGTGACATGCAAGAAGAGAGACCTGTCCATCTGTCACTACATCAACACCACAATTTGATGGTGTGAAGAATATAGATTCTCCATACAGGTTTCTAAAACTAAGAATTGTGGATGTTGGGCCTTTCCTGGTGGCGCAACGGGTTAGGACACAGCACTGCAAGCGAGCCACAGCCTTCAGTGCTAGTTGGATCCCCGGCCCCAGAGGTGACCCATATGGCGCAGCAGCCCTCTCCTGACCCGCCCGCTGCTCCCCTCAGCAGTGTACTTCGTCGATCTGCCTGTTCTGCTCCCCACTCTGTCCCTGGTGAAGCCTCTCACCACCCCTACACCTCTGGCCTGTACCTCTGAATAAATAAATAAATCTTTAAAAAAAAGAACTTTGGACGTTAACATAGAGGAACCAGTTCTTAACAGCCAGTACAAAGGAAAAGAAGCAGCTGCAAAATGAGAACAGATTTTGTAAACGACTTCAAACAAGTGTTTGGGAACAGGCCTTACACATGTCCAGTGAGTGTCAAAATAAAGAGCATGCTAAGTTTTTTTCTAAGTTTAGGTACATTTACAGCACTTAGTATAACATTTGACATATTAGAGTTTCCGAATACATGTTAGTAGTTACTGTTATAATGTCATCTCTAGTAACATGACTGATATGTGAGCTGCCTAGGGTGCTGCTGAGGACAATAAAATGTGCATGACAATGTCTTGGTGTGGAGGTTGGAACTGAGTGATTTTCGCTGGATTCCTGTGAACAGTTCTGTTATTTAGCTCTCCCTCTAAGCCAACAGCAGTAACAATGAGCTCGTGTTAACATTCGTTTCAGAACTCGCAGGAGCCAAATCTATGCTGAGCTATCCAAGAAATGCCTCCAGGTTGCTTAGCGCTCTATGAAGCAGCGTGCCCAATTTATACCTCTAATGGTAGAACAAAAAGAGAAGGACAGAGTGCACCAGACAACCTGGTAAATTACCTTACTTCTTATAAGATATTTAAAGGGTGAGAAAAATCCGAATTTTTATACACTGAAAACTGACAGAATGAATGAATGAGAGAGGTCGTCCAAGAAACGGCTGTCTGAGTAATGTGTGCATTCAAGGGCTTGAGGACAGCAGAATTAGATAGTTTAATATGGGTTTT